TTTTTTTTTTAATAAACAATCTGGTAAATATAAGCATTATCCAAAAAGTAATTTAAGCTTGGCATAATGGTAGCCCTGTAATCCCAGGAGGTTAAAGCAGGAGGATTGCCAGTTTGGGCTTCACAGCACAACACTGCCTAAAGATGTAGTAATTTAATATTTAATTTAATTCACTACTGTCTTTAACATTATATTTATATGGAAGCCCTTGCAGCAGCATTTTTATTTCAGCAAGTATGCTTTCTTCTAAACAGTTACTGCCATAGACTGTACAGCCAAGATATTTGGCCTGTGAGTTAGTGTTTTGTCCACCAGAGGGATTTCTGTTGCAAAACTGTTAATATAGGAACAGAGGTTTATGGAAAGAATGGGTCCATAATTAGAACACGGGAATGTGATGCAAATTCTCATGGAGTCTTCTTAACGCTGAGCATCTAGGAGTCTAATTTCCTCTGCTGCCCCAGAAAGTGTGAACACATAGCAAACTTTAGTAACAGTTAGATTAGGGGCTGCGGAGATGTTTGGCGTGCAAGCACGAAGACCTGAGTTTGGATCTCCTGCAAAAGGACACTGCAGTATGACTGTGTGTATGTGTGCGCTACCAGTTCTGGGGTAACGCGGGCAGTTAGATCCTGGGGGCTTGCTGGCCAGCTGGTCAGTGAGAGCAGACACTGTCTCTGTCTCGAACCCTAAGGTGGTGAGCCATTGTGATGGTTCCGTGAGCAGAAGTGCCTGTCGTGCAAGCCTGACAATGGAACTGTCATCCCCAGAACCCACTGCAGAAGGAGACAACTGACCCCTGAAAGTTGTCTTCTGACCTCCACCCGCACGCGCGCGCGCGCACACACACACACACACACACACCACAATAATATTGAAAAATTAAATTTAAAAATAAGGTGTCACATGTTTAATAGCTGCCAGGACAGAGTGGACTGTTTTGAAGATGGGAATTTTTTTTTTTTTTTTGAGTGTGGTTCATGACTGAATACAATTGTCAAAACTCACAGAAGTAAACATTCCAAAGCTGGGCATTTTATTGTATGTAAAACCTAGATTTGTAAAAGGTTAACAGTAACAATAGATCATATCATTACTCCTATATTCAAAAGTTGGTCTTTGCTCTTACTCTGGTGGTTTGAGGTCAAGAACATTCCTATCAGGCACTGACCAAGGAACAAACTCTGGTGTTTTATGATTTTTTTTTTTTTTTAGTGGAGAAAGACTTTTTCCCCTAAACAGGTTGATGATGTAATTTAATAAATAAGTAAATTTGTTTCTTCATTAACAAGCTTTACTCTATTAAACATTCCTAACGATGGGTTTTAATCTTTTTGAATACATTCACTACTTTTGTTAGATAATTTCATTATATGTATTATGAAGAGATCATCTGTTTTCACTCAAGATTTTTTGTTTTTGCTTTATCCATTTGCTTACATATGTGGCAAAATGCATTAGGTTCATAAAATAAGTTAGTGATCATTTAAATACAACCCTTAGCTGCAGAGTCTTCATTTTTACAAAAGACAGTAAGCGTGTTAAAGATAGCAAATTAGGTTAGAGTGAATATTGGGTCTCTAGTGTACCAAGCCCTCTAAGTGGGCTTTTATCTGTTATTTCAAGGGTCTGGAGAAATAACTGTTCTGTAGAACTTCACTTAGATCATAGAGCTAGCTTCACTGAGAACAGATTTCAGGGCATTGATCACCTCTCTGTATGTTTCACTACATATGGCAGCAAATAGACAGGTCTGGCTTTTAGCAGAAAAATATAAAGTGCTGTTATATTTTACTTGCACTGTTGTCTGTTTCACAGCATTTTATTGTGTTTCCTTGCAGCTATTTCACTCAATTCAGAGAACCTGTTTGGACTTGTCTAAAGCAATTGTGCTCTATCAAAAGAGAATATGTTGTAAGTATTATTTAAGTATTATATTGAGCAAATGAGAAAGAGCAAGATATTTTGCCTTAGCATATCATTTAATAAGTCCCAGAAAACTGGATATGGTGGCACATGCCTTTAATTCCAGCATTCCAAGAGACAGAGGCAAGCTGATCTCTGTGAGTTCGAGGCCAGCCTGGTCTACAGAGTGAGTCCAGGTCAACCAAGGCTACAAAGAGAAACTGTTTCAAATCTCCCCCAAAAAGAAATTAATAAGTTCTGGAACTACTTACCTAGGGAGTGTATCTTTGTTGTTTCAGATGTGTTTTATCATTGATTTACTTAGGCTCTGTTCAAAGCAAGTATCAGACTAGGAGGGTTTTTTGTTTTGTTTTGTTTTGTTTTTTTTACTGGGTCATCCATGAATGCAGATATGCTGTTTATTTTCCCAATTATAAATATTTTTTGGTTTTATATGTGCTTTTTTGATTTGGGATTATTGTATTTAATTTCCTTGGTTTATTTTGTGTCCATTTCTCAAATGACAAATAGACAATGGAGGCACAATTAGCTAATTCATTGAATATATTTTGCCCACGGAACTTTCTCATGAGAATTCCTTATGTTGTCTTATAATGTATAGGGTTAAAATTATGTCCCAACCATGGGACTAGAGAGATGACTCAGAAGTAAAGAGCATGTGCTGTTCTTCCGGGGGATTTGACCTGAGTTTGGTTCCCAGCACTCGCATTGGGAAGCCCATAGACACATGTAACTCCTGCTACAGTGGATAGAGTGCCCATTTCTGGCACTTTTCTCTGCGAGCACCTGCATCCACATGTTATGCACACACACACACACACACACACACACACACACACACACACACACATACACACACACACACACACACTCTGTCTCAACCTTGCAGTGATCTTCTGACCGGCCAGCAGAGTTTAGCTGTTGGTTTGAGGGTAAGCCATGTCATCACAGTTGGGAACGGAAGGAAGAATTCGGTGCTGCTTTGACTGAGCCCAACTTTGATGGAGGACTAAAAATAGAATCATTAATGTGAGAGTGTTGCTATGCAGATGCAGTAGAAAAAGTCATAAATCTCTATGAACGGACATGGGTTGAATTTAAAATAACATTTTAAACAAGACAAAACAAACAATCAAAAAAATAAAAATAAAACCCAAGCACGAATACCTCCGACATGCTGCTCTTCATGCAGGAAAAGAGGTATTAATAAAATAAAAGTGTGTAAAAAGAAGGACACACAAAAATATGCAAATGGCATGTATGTTCTGCTGAAGAAATTCAGAAAGGTGAAGTGACAGTGTGGAGAATTAGATCTCTGGTGAGCAGTGGTGGATAGAGAGAGGAGAGGGATAAGGGTAGGGCACTGGAGGTTGTGGGGGGTAGCTTTACCTCAGCAAGCTGCACACTAATTCTGTGCACACACTCACAAGATACCTAAACCAGGACTGGGGGAGGGGGGGATAAAGTGGAATCCAGTCAGTTACTGATGGACTGAATTGTCCTGCAAACAACTGAGGTGGTCAGATGAGAGAGAAGAGAACTAACTTCGGTAAAGCAGGAGACTGAGACGGTACTTTTAAGAGGACAGTCAGGCTAAGCACAAAAAGAAATACATGCAGAAAGTATAAACTTATTGGCCCCTAAGTAAATGGACGACCATTCTGAAACCACTTTATGTAGATGAGGTTAAACAACTAAATGTAGTGCGCATAAAAGCAGCTGGAGATGAGGGAAGAAGGTGCAAACACGGTGTCCTATCGGAACATGGTCAAAAGAATGACCTGTGGTGACCAGTGCCTTGGGGAACTGTGAGAGAGGCTCCAGGAAAAAAGGCAGAGGGCCTTTACCTTAGGTGTATTTGTTCCCTGGATTGCTCTTGGATGTGATTGTGTGCCTCCTGGGACAAACATTTACATTCGGTTAATAAGGCATGTTTATTCTTGTTGGATAACATAGCTACAGAACATAGTTACAGAATCCAGACTGGTCAGTGAACCCTGAATCCGGATATGGCCTTCTGCCTTGCTTTCGTGCTTTCCCAGATATAATCTATAGTGCGTGCCAGGCAATTGTGTTTCAATCGGTCCTTCCTGAGAAAGTTCTGGGAAAGGGCTGCTCAGTTAATATTTACTACCTGGTTGCTGGAGTTTATTTACAAGGTTTTCTGATCTTAAACAACCTTCCTTGGGTCATTGCTTTCTTTGTTCCATTCGTGTATAAAAGTACACTAAAACGGGAGTAAAATTGTCTGCAGCATTTTGGACCGTAGTCTGCCCCATTCTTTCAAGTCCTTGGATCACGGGTCTCGCAGGCAAGATGTGCATAGGTTGGCCGGCAGGGTGGATGAAGTCATTGCTATTAACATGTGCAGATAAACGTGAGCGTGTGTGCCTGGATCAATGCATTGTACTTTCCTGTCCCAAAAGATCTGGAAGCACCAAGAGCCCATTGCACTGAGTAATTGCCCTTTTTCACACCTTTAGGAAAGTGCCTGGTTTCAGGCTCAGTACAGGGAAATTGAAGGTGAGCCTGGAATGCCTTTCAGTGCCACAACTAAAAAGGGTCCTTGAGAAAGGACGGGAAATTTGAGCAACAAAATAAACGACAGTAATAAACTATAAACCGTAAGAAAAATAATTTCTGATTATGTTCATAGGGACGTAGATGGACAGGTAGACAGATGGATGAGTAAGTACCTGCCTTGGCGTAAACTGAAAGATAAAATAAACCCTTTCCTCCCTGGTTTGGTTTCTGTTGCTGGGATAGAGTGTGACCAAAAGCAACTTGAGGAAGAAAGAGTTTATTTCATCTTTCAAGACGACAGTCTATCATGAGGGGAAGTCGGGGCACAGACCTGGAGACGGGAACTGAGGCAGAGAGTGTGGGAAAATGCTGCTTACTGCTTTGCTCTCTTCTCCCGCTTTTGCTGGGCCAGCTTTCTTTTAGAACCCAGGACCTGCCCAGAGGTGGCACCACGTCCGTGTCAATCATCAATCAAAGAGATGCCCCCACAAGCCAATCCCGATGGTGGCAACTCTTCAATTGAGGTTCCCTCGTATAACTCAGGCCTATTCTTAGAAGGTGTCAAAGTCTCAAAATGCAAGAGAGTCTGAGGAACTGTGAAAGACTGAAGAAAATGAAAGAGATTTAGTATCTCATTGCTGTGTGGGATCCAGGACTAAATTCTGGAACAGAAAAAGAATAATAATAGAAAATCTGGTCAAAATTTAAATAAGTACTTTAGTTCATTTATAGGGTTGGATCTATGTTAATTTTCTGGTTTTGAACCTTGAGCCATAATAACATAAGAAAAAAGAGGAGGAGAAGCTGGGGTAGGGTCTATCACAATTCTGAATACTATTTATGTTCTTAAGTCTACTATTATTTTAAAAGAAGTTTAATGAATTGTAGGTTGAATCTACCGCCACTTGCTTTAATGTGCAAACTTATCAGTTTATACTTCAGAAGCAATCTAGTCCCAGCTTATTCCTTGGGCCCCATTTCCTTTGCCTTCCAGACCATAGGAGGTCCTTTGTACTCAGCATTTCCTCTGCTTCTGCTCGGAATGTCTGTGCCCTAATAATACTAAGAACGCTTCCTTCTGTCACTCAGAATTCAGCTGCTGCTGGAGCCTTCCCTGACTACCCAGCCTAAGCAGTCACTGTCTTCCTCAATTTCTCTGGCATTTTCCCTTTTGTGTCTTGTGTCTGTGATTATGTGTGCTGCATTTTTTTCTTTCACCTGCCACTTGCCTGTGAATTCTGGGGGTGTGGGGGAGGGTGAAGGGACAGCCTGTGTCTCCTTCATCACTATTGGATTAGTTCTTCAGTTGCTTTTTATCTTTAAAGGATGCATCTGAAAATAAAATCATCAAGTAAATGTGAGTGGGTTTTTATTTGAAATTTTAAGACCTAGTTAATTGACACATTTGAACAAGCAGAGACTTTGAATCATCTACTATACATGTTATGTGAGAATGACTATCTTCAGCCTTGACTCTGACAGAGCTTAAGCTCTCTTCCAAAGCACTGACAATCAGATGCAGCACAGAAAACCAGACCTGTTTGCCACCAAGTTTAATCCTCAAATACATGACGTACGTAACCAAAAACTTTTCCTGACTGCTTCAACCTACTTAGATTATTTAGGGGAGACTCGCATCACCAAGTGTGCATTCAGGTATCCTGAACTGGTTTCTTTTGACCTAAAGTTAAATGTGTTTGTTTGTATGTGGCTTGAGTTTTTAAGGTTAAATAAAGAAGTGACAGCAGCCTGATGCTCTTAGAAGCAAAAACTGGGAAATTGCTCTCCATAGAAAGGAATAGGTTCTTGGTAGAATTGAAAGAATCCTATATTAGTCAATGAAGAGAAAATACATATGGCCCTGAAAAAGAAATCATATAGACATTTTCAAGCTATATAAAACTATGGCATGAATAGGAAACAAACATTTAAAATGAAATACAGTGTGAAGTGACAAAAAGACAAAAATTAGAGTTAGTTCCATTTCATAAACCTTTAATTAGTGCCACTAATATAAGACTCTCTGCTTGGCCTGATATACTATATATGTGTGTATATATATTTATGTATATACATGTGTATACATATATACATATATATACTTGGTCTGGATATACTCTGTGAATGCACAGTTTCATGGTAAAGTCAGATGCAGGCCCAAGCTCACACTCTGACACTGACCCAACAATCACAAGTACTAGCCCAGGAGCCCAAAGGACACTGCTGTCCAGGGAAAAAAAAAAAAAAAGATGGGGGATTGGAACTGACCACTTGTGAGTCAGAGGAAGCCTTTAACTGGGCTCAGATCTGTGAACTTTATTTCTGTGTTTACTTACTTTTGTTTTTTCTTTTGAGATCTGATCTCCTTTCTGTAGTCTTGGCTGACGTCAGTGCCTCTACCTCCTGAACACTGGTAATATAGGCATGTACCACCATGGATAGCATTGGGAACTTAAGTCTTGAGAGAAAAGTATGAGGAGGTGCATTATTTATCTCGTGGGGGCGGGGGATGGGTTCCAAAAACCCTTTCTCCTGCCCCAGGACTTCTCCAGCAGTCCCAGGAGACTGCTCAGTAAACACTGTAGTCACAAGTAGGCAATCAGTAATGAGTCCTTTGCACTGTGGTTCCCATCTAACCTTCTGTAGTTGTTGCTGGAAAGGTTGATACTGGGGTACAGTTTGAAGTGTGGGAGACTAAAGGGTTGAAGAAATCATTCAACCTTCAGGTCATAATAGAAAACAGTTTTATTGAGTACACTGCATATGCTTTGTGTGAAGAACAAGGTCAGTGCTCAGGGTCCTTTTAGAGCTCTGTTCTTTTATTAGGGTAATTGTCACCCATTTCCCACCATGCCAATGGAGGTAGTTTTTAGGGGTTGATGTTTGATTCTGTGCAAAGAGCAAGTTGTCCTAGGCGTGTGGCTGTGAAACCTGTTGTGGTTAATTTTGCTTGGCTGCACTCATGTCTGGCTGGAGTGGAGCACTGTTCTCTTCCTGGAGAGGCTTTTGAACAGGCTTGCCTTGTAGAAAGTCCCTAGTAGGAATTTTTCCCATCTCTTAGTCATGGCCTTTTTGCCAAGTCTGGATGACTCCTGGAAATGGACAAGCATTCTAGTGACGTTTCAGGTGTGGTTATAGAGACAGATGCCATAAATGTATACATGTTCAATCTCAGCATGCAGGAGGCAGAGACAAAAGGATGTGGAAGAATTGGGATACTGAGGCCATCTTGAGCTACAGCGCAAGAGTCTGTCTCAAAACACCAAGGTTAGGGCTGAAAAGATGGCTCAATGGGGAAAGCAATTGCTTTGCAAGCAAAGCATGAAAAGAAACTAATAAGAGGACGTCATATGGATTCCAGCACTCAGAGGGCTGGGTAGAGACTGTGTGCACCTGTTTTTATTGAAGAGCTTGGGTAGGTTGAGAGGTGTGGTCAACCTCGCTAACCTCTGTCCTGGCTCCATGTTTGGTCAGTGACCCGTCTCAAGGAAATGAGGCACTGAGTGGTAGAACAGGACACCCAATATCCTCCTCGGTCTCAGTGCAAACACTGATGCCTGCGTACCGTATACATTGCCAGCAATGCAGCTCAATGGTAGAGTGCTTATATGGCAAGCACAAGGTCCTGTGTTCAAGTCTCAAGGCCTATGTTTGTGGCTCTGATAATGGTAGATGTTTGGGTCTGTCTCTGACTGTCTCGCAGATGCTCCGGTTTTACTAACTCAGCTTCTAGAGTAGGGAGACTGTTACTATTATAAACGATGATGTTGATCATTTGGGGGACCACTTTGGTACTTCCTGAGAATGAAAGAGCAATATCAAAAGAATCATACAGTTCCGTGACTTTTTTTATTCTTTCTACCGATTGATCTGTAGACGGCGTGTGCCACATCACTCTTACCAAATCGCCCCATCTGTACTTGTCTCTAAAAACAAAACCAGTTTAAGCACAACCAGTTCCGGTTGGGTTCCAGCTCTGTATTTTTTAAAATTTACCAAATGATCAACCTGATGGCCTTACACACCTTCAGTCCCCACTTCCAGCTTTGTAGTGGTTGAGGGGTTTGAGTTCTTTACAAAGGACAGACTGTAGCTCAGACAGAGGGGGATCAGAAAGTCAGCCGGAGAGAATAATAGGAGTCAGCTAGCACCGCATTCTAGGCAGCCACAAAAGGTCCCCACTGTCAGCCTTGAAAAACCCAACTCCTTCATTTCAACTCGAAGCAGGACATTATGGGCTCGCTTTTCAGTACAGAGGTCATTTTCTGGTTCTGATTACAGGGCACCAAACTCACTGACAGATGTATTCAAGTGAATTTGATCTCTCCTATTGTAAATGGAAGACCAGCATGGAAGTTAAATAGCTGGGTGGGGGAGGTGGAGGGGCTTACCTTGCAGCCTGCCACTTGGATTTAATTTCCTCTCATCTTTGACTCTGAAGAGAGGGGGGCCTTGTGACTTGTCTCCTTCACTTTCTTTGTCGTAAAAATGCTCATTGTTCACGGCTGCTTTCCCTGTTTTCTTCATCAGTCTTGTCTCAAGAAGAAAATGAACTGGGAAAATTTCTCCGATCCCAAGGCTTCCAAGACAAAACCCGAGCAGGAAAAATGATGCAAGCCACAGGCAAGGCCCTCTGCTTTTCCTCCCAGCAAAGGTGTGTGGCCTTCTCTGGGGCTCTGCTTTGGGGGGTCTGTAGAGAATCTGGGACCCACTTCTTTATCTGGGGAAACTGGACAGTCTAGAACACTTTAGCCTAAGCCTGAGGAAGCTATTCTCTACTTAGCTGGTTTCCACTGACCTCTGAATTAGATAGCACGTAGGATTTGTTTTCCTCCCTGCCATTTAATCTTCTTTGTCTTCTGCTCTGTGGGAGGCAATATGTATGCCAATCATTGTGAGTGATTACATTTGACCTTCAAGTTATTCATAACCAGCAGTCTGATCCCCTTTCCGCATTTGATTAAAGCAAGAGTCTAACGAGACCAACCTGAAAGGTTCTCTCTCTGCTCTCTGTGCGCTAATTAATGGCAAAGAAGTAGTGATCATGATGCCCTGGACCGCACTCCCCAGGCCCATGGCCAGCAGCAGCACCTGGGAGCCTGTTAGAAGCAGAAGGTAGGCCCCAACCCATTCCTAACTCTAACTCTACACTTCAACCAGATCTACAACTGATTTTGATGTACACAAACGTTTGACAGTCTCCAGTACAGAGGAAGTTGTGACAGAACTGTTGAATTTCAAAACGCAAGCACAACTAATGACTCTGTTGAACAATCCTGAGTCTTTGTGCTACACAACTGCTCTTTGTGCTGGAGAGAAAAGACTCATTCTCTCCTTCCCTAACCAACTAACTCTCAGGTCCAAGAAAACGTCTCCATTAATAACGCTCAGAATTATACCTAAAGAAAGCTTTGCAGGTAGTTTCCAATATTATTTAAGCTTTAAAAATTTACTTACTCAAATTGTCATGCCTGTCCCCACCTCCTATTTATCCTAATGGCTTTCCCTCCCTGTGAGCCCAAGAGCAGACCATTGATTGGCAAGTCACACGCGCGTTCCTAAGGAAACCCAAGAAAGATGGAACTAGAAAAAAGGGACCAGCGACATCTATAGGTTTTCCAGTGATCCCATTCTTGGACATTTTGGTTCTTGCTAATGACATTTGGACCCTGGCTTGTAGGCAGTGGCAGCAGTCATTGTTGAATATAGCCATTTCCGACTTTATTTATTCCAAGTTTTTTTTTTAAAGAGAGTATGTTCTTAGTACATTGGCACATGCCTTTAATCACAGCACTCAGGGAGGCAGAGGTAGCAGATCGGTGTGAGCAGATCGAGGCCAGCCTGGTCTACAAAGTGAGTCCAGGACAGCCCAGTCTTCACAGAGAAAACCCTGTCTTGAAAAAACAAAACAAAACAAAAAGAATATTTTCTTATAATGTTGAATTGTACCTTTAATACTTAAAATAGACAAACCAAAAAGAGAAATAATCTAAAACAGGTACATTATAACCCCTTGATAGATAATTCTTTGTGTACATGTCCTCTTCCAATCTTTCAAGAATAATTGATTCCTGAAAACAAATCAGAGTAAATGCTCTTAGGTTAAGAAGGTAAGTATCAATGATTTTAATGAGAAAAAGCTTAAGTGTGCCTATGCAACAAAATAGATATTTATGAATAAAAGTGTCAAAACCCAGATCACCTTGATGGTTACTGTTATCAAAGACAGTAATTGTGATTGAGATGTGATTGATTATCCTATTGCCATCCAGTTACAGTCTGGATGATTATGTACCAAAATGATCCCACAAAGTATAAATATATTGTCTTAATGTTAATGCTATCTTAACCCCCCTTTCTCTCCTCTCTTTCTCCTCTCTCTTCACACACACACACACACACACACACACACACACCAGCACCAGTAAAAGCAATCAACAATCCAGTGCAAGTGATACTTTAAAGTATCTGAAAGCATCTACCGTAGACTAGCCATCTTCGCTGATCCATGAGGGGCAGCAGCTCTGCAGTTAGTAATGTGGCCTCTCACAAGGTGGCTTTGCTTTCTCAGCTGCTCACCAGCCTCAGGAACTCCCACCAACTTCTCCTAAATGTGAAGCAGGAAAACTACATGAAATCCTTCTAATGTCAATTCTTAAGTTGAGTGAACTTGATTTAGAGGATTCCAGACTATTTTTTTAAAGATCTATATTAACTTTATGTGCATCTGTCTGTATGTCAATGGATGTGGGTGCACATGAGTACAGGTGACTGAAGAGGCCGGGAGAGGGACCAGGCCAGGAAGAGCTGGAGTTACAGGCATCTGTGACTCCTGTCATGGGTCCTGAGAGCCAAAGTTGGCTCCTATGTGAGTTGTACACGCTCTTAACCATTAAGCCATCTTTTCCAGCCCCACAGAATATGCATTTAGCACAAACAGCAATATAACAGATAGTTTTTGTAACTTAGAGTGTATGGTAATAATTTAGCAAATTGATATTTTGTTAAATAATGCTAATCTTTATATATGTATATATATTTAAGATTTTATATGTTTATTTTATGTAGATGAGTGCTCTATCTGCATGATTACCTGCATGCCAGAAGAGGGTATCAGATCACATTATAGATAGTTGTGAACCACCATGTGGGTGCTGAGAATTGAACTCAGGCCCTCTAAGAGCAGTCAGTGCTCTTAACCAGTGAGCCATCTCACCAACCCCCATCTTTCTATATTTCAATATGTGCATCTCGGGGGGAAAAAAGTTAAATTAAGGAAAGAAAAAGTAACTCCAATAGGATTCTATTACCCTTGCATGCTCTGATACACTTAGCCTGAGCCCCTGTTGTATTTTGTTTCTTTTTAACGATATTGGTTTTGTTGTTTAAGTGTGTTTGTGTGCACATTGAGCAGGGGTGCCTACTGAGGTCAGAAGATGAAATCCAATCCTCTGGGGGCTGGAGTCACAGGCTGTTATAATTTGCCCATCCTGAGGACTAAGAAAAGCATTCGGGTCTTCTAAGTCAGAGTTATGCTAACTTTTAACTACTTTTATCCAGGCCCTGTATTTTTAACTCTTCCCTACTAAGGATAAATACCTTGGAGTAACCCTTTTGTTGTTTTATAAATTATTCCCAATTGGGTAGATTTTCATAAATGAAAAGGTGGGCCAGTCCCGCATTGGAGGATGATATTTTCAATTGGTAAGCATTTTATTTTTGGTCTAGACTCCTTTTCTTATACTGCAGTGAATGGATTGTCGCCGTCCTAATGTATAACGATCAACTTACGGGATGGTGGCAAGGGAGAGAGTGGATGAGGTTCGTTTGTATGCCCTTTTTTATTTTCTAACATCATGTTATTGTAACTTTAAAGATAACTGTATAATTTCCAGCATTCCAAAGGGATCGAGAGTAGTTTATTCACAATAATTTTCGGCAAAAGTAGGAAAATACATAAAATCTAAAGGAAGAGAAAAGGAGTCAGAAAGTGAGCGGTGCCCTCGGGGAGCCATCTGAGGACGGTTTGTCTCTTTAAGTAGATGTCCTCGATGCTCTAAACCTTCACACCGGTGACTTACTGGTCAGGCTTTGCTCCTGCTCCTGTCCTGCTGGATGAAAGGCACATATCAAATTTAAACCACCAGTGTAAACCACAAACGTACTTCATGGCGCAGTGACATGCATTTTGAGAAGACTTCTAACATGTAGGTAGGACAGTGTGAGCTGGCTGCTGTCGTGGGCGTGGTCGACATTTAAAACAGTGTGTTACAGACGAGAGGAAACATGGGGAAACAGTAAAGGAGAGGCGGCTTTCCCTGAGGTTTCTGACAGCCTTTCTAATGTCAGAGGGCTGCACATTGGGCATCTTAGACACTGACGGAACTGCTGAGGGCTGCCATCAGCTCACCAACACCGCTGTTCTCCCTGACTGGGTAACGTGGCATGCAAATGGAGTCTTAAATGTTCATCTTGTGTTCAGTGTTTGCACCATGTCCCTGAAACCTCATAGAAAATATGTTCTGTGTGGCTGGAGAGAGGACTCAGTGGCGAAGAGTGTGTGTTATTCCTACAGAGTCCCTAAGTTTTATTCTTATCACCCAGTGGCTCACAACCACTTACAACTCCAACTTCAAGGAATCTGAAATCTGTAGTCTCCAAGGCCACATACACTCAAACACACACACACACACACACACACACACACACACACACACACACAGAGAGAGAGAGAGAGAGAGAGAGAGAGAAATAGAAATAAAAATGTCTTTGAAAAAAGAAAGAATGTTTTCAAAGTGTGATTTATCTAACATTGCTTCTTTGGTTTCAAATATGGAAGAATTAGAATTTTATAACCCAAATAAATATTTTACCTAAAGTTAGGATATGTGTTCCTTTTTATGAATAAATGACAGTTTGTTATGGCTGATGGTTACCATTATAACAATTTTATACTTGTACAGTATACATTCATTTCTTGTGTAATGTCTGTTTAGTATTTATGCTTGAGATGGAGCCCAGGCCTTTGTTAGTGCTAGGCAAGAGCTGTATCACTGAGCTGAAGCTCTGATCCTCCCTCTCTCTTTCCCCCCTTTCCTTCCCACCTTCCTTTCTTTTCTCTCTCTCCCTGTCTTTCTTTCTATCTGTCTCTGTCTTTTAAGCCAGGATCTCAGGTAGCCCAGGTCTGCTGAGAATAATCCTGAACTTCTGATTGTCCCCTCCACTGGGATTAAAGCTGTGTACCAGCACACCTGGTTTCTTATTTTTTATGAGGATTGAAATATAAGGCCTGTCTGATAATACTGATACACAGCAGAACCTCGGTGACTGTGCTTTTCTTCTCTCTCAAATCGTTTAAAACTGTAGCAGCCCACGCCTCAACCCTGTTTTTATTAGAGCAAGCTGCAGATGCTCTGGCTTTGAAAGAGTGATCAAAATGGCCAGGTCAAGGATACCCTACTCATGTCTGCCCCCTCCCATCACATGGGGACGAAACTTCAGGAAAGAGAAAGAAACAGAGACAGAGAGTAACCAGGAATGGGAAGAAGAATGCCCTTGACTGTCCGTCATTGTCCTAGGTTTGGTTTTAACTTCAAATAAGTTTTGTGTGGCCACCCAGCCACACAAATGGACTACTTTCTGGTGACCCAGTTCACTAAAAACTAAAGGTTCTGTGTGTGGGTGACCTCTGCATGGTTCCCAAGTTCACACACATTTTCATTAGTGTCTGCCATGTCTTGACGAGGCGCCTGTGTTCTAGGCAATGTTCTAAATTTGTGGGTTTATGAAGACTTCAGGACATGTCAGAGTTTGGAACTGTTCTCTTTTGCTTTATGATTATAGCTCTGCCCTCTTGTGCAGGTTGGCTTTGCGAAACCCTTTGTGTCGATTTCACCAAGAAGTAGAAACTTTTAGACATCGGGCCATCTCTGATACCTGGCTGACAGTGAATCGCATGGAGCAGTGCCGGACAGAATATAGAGGGGCATTACTATGGATGAAAGACGTGTCTCAGGAACTTGACCCAGACCTCTACAAGCAAATGGAGAAGTTCCGGAAGGTAGGAAGCTTTCTGAGGGTTTTCAAAAGGGGCACCTGCTAGGAGGCAGCCAAGTGTGATTTGGATCCCTCTGGTAAGGAAGACATAACTCAGAGCACCAAGGATGCAATTAATCATTGCTGACATTTTTTTTAATGTGACAGAATAGCAATTAATGTGATATATAATTCTCCAAGGATAAGAGAAGAGACAGCTGGAAATTGCTGGGATTTAGTAGCTGGTTTTAATTGAAGTCAGATTTTCATGTGCACTTTTTTATAAGGTTGTCACTTGTAAATGCTTCTTCATGCAGAACTAAAAATCCAGGGTAGATCACCCGAATCCAGAAAGTGAGAACAGACTGTTTTACAAGACTTTTAAATTGACAGTTAATGCTGAGCTGATAAAATAATAACAGTCCTTCTGTGACGTATTCACAGGCACTGGGATGTGCTTGTATGGTGATTTCTCTGAGGAAAATAAGAGCCAAAGAAATGAATATTCTCTTAAATTTTCCCAGAAGAATTGGTGAGCATCAAAGTAATAATCTTAAGTTCTTAAAATATATATATATATATATATTTTAAGAAC